CTTTATTTGATCCTATTGAAGCTCGACGCATTTCATTCATAGTTGATGTCGATGGTTCTTTATTTGATCCTATTGAAGCTCGACGCATTTCACTCATTGTTGATGTCAATGGTTTATCGTCGTTATTAACAGGAAGTCGTTTACGTGAAGTATTGATATCACTAAAACGATTCATCATGTATTTATTTAATATGTTGTTAAATGTTGATAAAATGACAATAGTTAGGAATGTGAAGCAATGACTTACAGCGATACAATATATTTATTATTCAATATGCGAATCTATACGATTGAACGAAGCACTTTTCTTGTTTTGATTTTAACTTTTGCTTTTCTCTTCCAAAAAACGAATGAAATGAAATTTTTCTTTTTAATGGTATTTTGCTTCTGTTTCTAACTAGTTGAAGTAATACGAATAGGATTGAATGTGTTTTTTTATTATTCAAGGTAGAAGAATTCTTTTTTTCTTTTCATTCTGTTCAAATATTAATGTTCTGTTTGATGAAATGGAATTTAATGCTGCGCAAAAGAATACTGTTGCAATAGTAGCAAAAGAAAAACATTTTCTCATTCAATAAAAAACAAAGATGTATGAAAGAAAATTTCATGAAATACAAATTGGTTGAAACACTAAAAAGTTCATAAGCATAATAAAAGAATTTTTTAATTTTGTTATGAATCTCTAGAAGAAAAAAATACCAAGATTTTTACCTATTGGGATAGATGCTATTCTGATTGTCTCTAAAAGACTTGTAGAAAAAAAAAATAAGAAGATCAATTCTAAGTTTGTTGAGAAATGTAAATTTAACAAAAATATTTCAGAAGTTATTTCAATGATTTATTACAATTGAAAAATCTATCGAAAGAAATACTAAAATAACGATTTCATAAAAATTGGTATTCCCTGAAAAAAAAATAGAACATTTATCGTAGAAACCAGAGTTTGGCGAGTCAAGCCATTTTTCGAGTCGAGTCCAAGTCATTTCTTAGCGTTTTGAAGTCGAGTCGAGTCGAGTCGAGTCAAGATATTTTTGCCATTTTTTCGTTTGTATTTCATCACTTCCATTAGTTTGTGTTTTTCTTGCTACAACTTTGTATAAGAAAAAAAAGAGTTCACATTTACTATCAAATTAGATGATAGACTTAAATGAACGTTGTAGAAATCCAACCAGGCTGACTTTTTGCAGGTATGGCCTGCCTGTGACAGGCCTACATCCTCCTTATCTTGCTTGTACCTGTCAGCTTTTTTCTTTGACCTGGGTGTGGGTTTTGATTTGCTTACTCACACCGACACCCTAAATAGACCTGAATATCATCAATGGTACGATACAAAATACATATTGATTGTTTCAAATAAACTGAATACAGTACAAATAAATGTAACAACTAATTCTACGAATAATCAATTTCGAAATGCTTGTATAACAGTTTTGTGTAAAAACACAAATAAATCTTTCGATGGAAAAGCTTTAACCATTTATCGAGCTCCTTCTCTATGTTGATAAGCTCTTAATACTCGTAGTAGATTTGATTATTAATATTTATTCTCAAGTATTTATCTAATTCATCATATTTAAGTCTTATCCTCGAAAACTACCTCAAATCAATCTGTTTTCTATATATAAATTCAATTTATCCAATAAAAGCTTCATATTGACAAAAAACCTAGACAGGCAAGGCGGCCTGGCATTTTAAGTGGCCTGCCTGATCTGAAAATTGTGACCTATGCCTGTGAGAGACAAGCAGTTCTAGCGACCTGGCTGAGGCTCTGATGTGTAGTTGTGACTAAAATTGCAGCGGTATTTTTGATGGAGGGAAAGGGAATAGTCGATCTATCTGAATGATAAAGAACAAAATGACGGTGCAAAAAGTTATACAACTGGTTATCTCATCACAGAAATCAATTTACTGTAAAAAGAGATTGAAGATCATTTTTATTGACGATCTTCATAATCGTCCGAGAAGGCTGCATCCGTATTTCGTAGGAAATTAAACGATCGACATGCTTCACTGATTATTATCGAAAGAAAGATATTTTTCGTGGACGCTGTGACGACTAATAGCTATATAAAGACAGACCAACTGCTGCGATAACAAGGATATATATGGCTTTAGAAGTAAGCAAAAACATCGAAAGAAAAAATATTAAAAGTGCTATTAATGCAGCTTCGATGCACACTATTCATGTATAAATGGAAGATGTGTATTCTGCCGAGGATTATTCACGCAGTGTTGATGCAAGGGTATGATGAAACTGCATTAATAGCATTTTCGATATATTTCCTTCAGCGTTTTTTCTTTCCATCAAATACATACTATTCATAGTAAGCACATTTTTATATTTTTAACTCAAGCCTTCAACTACCTTCATTGATTGATCATCTAATATCGTTGTACTAAGATGACACATAGTATGAAATTAATCTGCCAATTATTTATCGTTATTTTGATGGTAATAAATAGCCGAGTTTTGGCAGCACCCTATAATATGGAAGACAGTAGTGATGGTGACCAACCCATGTACCGTGTGCGTGATCTGGTTGCCATGTTCGTTCGCAAGCATATGATTTGTTCATATTCAATCTAGCTCTTTTTCATCAATTGAGTCAATCGAGGAGAATTAGATGAAGAACATATATGAACAAAACCTTGGTAGTAAATATTCATTGGCTATTTTACCTTCTACCATAAATAATTGATTTCGAGTATTTGCTTTGAAGTGGACGAAAATATTGAATCAAATCAAATATATGTTGCATATATTCATTTTTCATGGAAGACATAAAATTACTATAGGATTCAAACTTTGCTTCGAATAACTAAAATATGCACATAAAATCTTGCTTTAAACTCTTCATTGTTCCTGTGACCACCGAGGATATTATCAGTTTCAAATATATCCTGCGATATACGTGGAATATCTGAGTGAAAGCTTGGTATGAACTATTCTTTTACTTTGTGCCCGTCGCTTACTACATAGCTGATTCTAATTCTCTTATTTGCAATGCATAAGATAGTTGCATGAAAGCTTCGTATAAACTATTCATATGCTATGTAACTTTTGAGTATATACCGAATTGCAAATTTAAAGATGGAAGTGACTCAAGTATTTGATTGAAACCTTCTTGAAAACTATTCATTTTTACAGTTAATCGTCATTATTTTACAGATTGCAAATCGTTGATTTATAATAAGCGAAATAGATGAATAAACACTTGATATGACTCATTCATATTTCTGGTAGTTATTGTATGTATTATTAATTCCAATTGTTTAGTTTGAAATGAGCAAAATAGTCGAATGGAAGTTTAGTACGAACTATTGATTTTCTGCGTAATTATCAAGTTATCACGAATGTCAATGCTTTCGTTTGAACTGAACCAAATATTCGAATAGAAATTTTGTGCAAATCGATCAATAACTACATAGTTTTGAATATATTGCCAATTCTAGATCGCTTCTCTCAAATGAGCAAAATAAGTGAATAGAAACTTTATATGATCTATTCATTCACTTTATTATCTACAAATGAATTATCATGTCAAGCTCTGTCTTCGAGTGAGCGTATCATTTAAATAGAAGGTTAATATTTTGATTTATTCTTCAACTATGCATTCTTCCATCACAATGAAAATTTCAATTTGTATTGTGAAGTAGTAAGCAATATATTCAAATGTCAGCTTGATATGAGTCATTCATATGCCATGTATTATTTGATTTGATTCTGAGTTTTAAATTGTGAATATAGTGCAAATGAAATACTAAGATAGAATCTTTGTTGTTGACCCTATTCATTTCTCAAACAATATTTGGTTATCGTAATATTCATCAATCATTAATTAAAAATAAGCAGCATACTTGAATAAGATTCTGCTTTGATGTTTTCGGTTGGTATATAATCATGAATTATAATATCAATTTGGAATCTAAGTTTCAATGTAAGTAAAATATTTGAATCAAAGATTCAAATGATCTATTCATGTTCAATTTGATCATTGATCATATTTTCGAACCTAAAACTTGTGTTTAAAGTGAGTAACATATTTGATGAGAAAAGTTCAATATGAACTGTTTCAATTCTATACAATCATCGATCATTTGATTAATTGTGAATGATTAATTTGAGATGAATAGAACATTGGAAGAAAATTTTTGTTCAAATCATTCGATTATTCTATCTCATTTCAATATTTAACGAGTTTCAAATATTCATTATGAACTAAGGAAGATATCTGAATAGAGGTTTATTACAGACTATTCATCTTCATCGTAATCTTTAAACACTTAGCTTGCTAAAATCTTTGATAGGGGGTAAGTAATATAGTCAATTAGAAGCTTACTATGAACTATTCATCTTCATTGTGGTCATTTAGTACTTAATTTGCTACAATCTTTGGTAGGAGATGAGCATTATGATTGATTAGAAGCTTGTTGCTATGAACTATTCATCTTCATCATGATCATTGAGTACTTAATTTGCTACAATCTTTGATAGGAGGTAAGCATAATAGTTTATTGGAGGCTTGGTATGAACTGTTCATCTTCATCATGATTATTGAGTACTTAATTTGCTATAATCTTTAGTAGAAGGTGAACATTATGGCCGATTAAAAGCTTGGTATGAATTATTCACCTTTATCGTGATCATTGAGTACTTAACTTGTTACAATCTTTGGTAAAGCATGAATATTATGATTGATTAGAAGCTTCGTACTATGAACTATTCATCTACTCTCTGATCATCGAACATATCACTTTTTATTCTCAGTCTTTGTATAAAAGTAAATAGAAAATATTTGAATAGAGTCTTTGTTCAAAGAATTCAGTTACTCTCTAGTTTTTCGTCACATCAAAAGGAGATTCATCATATCATCGAAAGGAGGAATACTTGAATACAATCATTTTTGAAATAGGTATGTCAAATTTCAGTGAAACATTTCCATAACAACTCATCCAAACGAATTTACTAACAACAATAAATTTTTGAAGATCATTAATATAAAAGTTTTCCTTTTTTTAGAAAATACAACTCGTGAATATGGACATCAACATCTGCCCAGTATCATTAATCATATGAAACATTCATTTATAACTCACTTTATTCTAGTTCCTTTTTTTTCAAGTCTTTTACTTTATTCAATGTTAATCACATTTTTTCTCTGACCCATTTTTTCATACTGTCTCTTATCATCGTTCTCTCTGTATTTCGTATTAATAAAATTTTTTTCTTGTTGTAATGAATTATTTCTGTTCTCTGCATTAATCAATAGTTTAGGCGACTTCATAAGGCACATCATGAACGATGAACTGAAGATGAAAGTGCAGAGTGAATTTTCTTTCAAAACTATCAATAATAGATGAAGACAAGCAGGAATGTAAGTTACATATTAAACGACGTTTACAAAAATAAAAAATATCTCTTGAATCAATATTCTTCTTAGCTTTTTCATTGAATATCTTTTCAGAACAAATAATTCATTCATGAAAACATTTTATCATCAAATTTCAATTAATAATATTTGTTTCGGCTTACATCAAAATCAATCTAACTTCGTAGTATCCCAACGAGATTATAATGATCACATTCTAGAAATTCGAAAGGAAATTTATGTAGTTGTGTCTCTAGTCTTAATAATTAATATGAGAATCAATTGATCTTACTGTATATAAAAGATTCTTAAGATAAAATATGCTAAGTTTTAATAGTTTGTTGAATAGTAACTATAATGATAAAAATAGTGTCTCAGTAATGTTTGTTAAATATGATAATGTACTCACCAAATGAAAAATTCTTATAAGACAAAACATCATTGATATAATGTTGATGAACAATGTATAACACACTAGCGTCTTTGTCGTACGTTCCACATCGTGTTTTGATTCTCATTTTAACATGATTGCTATTTGTGATCCATTTATTATATACGCTAGGAATTGGACGCTTCTCGTTATCTCTTATTGTAATGCGATGTCGTACCCGAGCCTCACATGATAAACCATTTTTTGTGTTTATTTCAAAATCAATCATTGAGTTGAAATCTTCAAGAGCATCTCGATCAATATATCAAGATTTTAAATTTCTACAGAACTGACATGGCTTGAACTGTGAAAATGTATTGAAGACAAGATCGTGTTTGTTAAACGTAGTATACAAAATCAAGGTGTTCAAACTTGTGTTGATCAGGGAGAATGGCACCTTCAAGAAACGCTAAACTATCGAGCTGTTCTCTCGTTATAGTAGAATCGCGAAGAATTACATCGATAAAGTCACAATCTCGAAGATCAGCACCTGCGAAAGTCGAGTTTGTGAGATTGAATGAATAAAAAATTGATTGATTCAATAAAGAGTCTAGAAACGAAGCACCAATCAATTGAGTGAAACTGAAATCACTTCCAGATAGACGACTATGATCAAATTTAGCGTCAATCAATGACATTCCACGAAATGAGAGTGATTGAGTCTTTTCGATTGGTTCTGAACTTAAATCTAGACCATCAAAATTTCCATCCGATAGATTGATTGGAATTTGATTATGTTCTTCGGAAAATACATCGAGAAGACCGATTTCCTGCAAATACTTGAAAAGCAAAGTTTTGCTTCTATTATCGAGTTCTCGAATAGCCATTAATGTTCTCCATCGGATTGTATTATGCATATTCGACGATCTTATTTCCTTAGAATTTCCAATCAGTTCGAATAGATCACGAACGAACTTTTCTACAATAAATAATCATTCGATAAGAAATTATTTTATTCTTGAAAAAAAAACATTCTCAAATATATATATATTATGATAAAACCAAATGATGCCTAATCTTGAGTATAAAATTTCATTAATTTTTCGACTAGTTTATCTTTATCAAATTTTTCTTAACACAAATTATTTCGTCTTATTGATCAACCTGAATAAGTCTCGTTCTAATCAAGAGAAATAAATTCCAGAAAATCTTTTTTTACTATTAACTAAATTTTTTTTATTTTTTTGAAAAGTGAAATTTTTCAATATTGATCATTAAGTGCTTGAACATAGGGTTTACCAAGATTTCCTAGACAACTTTTAAATATTCTAGTCTGATAGTCCTTCTCGAGTTATGAACAAGTTAATCTTTGATTTTGATTAGTATTATCCGATAAAACTAATAGAATAAAATTAAAATTAATTTTATTGAATAATAATCTTAATCTTATTCTTTCTAAATTTTCATTTAATCAGTAAATAAACCATAAAAACTTATCAAACTACTCTAAAGACATGTGACCTGTAAATCTTTCAACTTAAACACATTGGAAATGTTAAAGAAAGTACATATATTGACTTTTCACTTTCTGATAAACTACATTTTAGAGTGTATTAAAATAAATAATAACCTAAACGATAAAACTGATCTATACTCAAATTATAATTAGAATGTGAGAGTATTTATTATTTTGATGTTATCTTTGTGTTGTCATTGTTTACTAAATTCATAGATTTTCTTCTACAATTATTTATTGCTCGATGTTTTCTCAATAATATCCAAATACTGTATAAATCAACATAGTGTTGTTATAGTCAATATCTTTTCTATTAATATATAAACTTTAACTTTGATTTTTTTTGAAATTTCTAGCATTAAAGTATGTTATTTTAACTTTAATATTTAAAGTATTAATTTAACTTCAACTTCTAAGGCAAAGCTAAAGTGACCTAATTTGTCAATCTTTATTGTCCAAGAACACAAAAAAATTCTACGCCAATTTCATTTTGAAGATCAACTTGAAATTTTGACTTGAAATCTCTGTGCAAATAATGATTCCATTAAGACTAGATCAATTCTAATTTTCTCATTTCTTTAATAGTTTCAGTTCTGCCTAGGAAGATAAAAAAAATTATGCCATCATATACTGTCAGTTATCTTAATCATTATTCTACTTGGATTCTTTTTGAGAAAAGGATCGAGTCAAATAAATAAAATGTCTGAAATAATAGACTTGATTACAATTGACTTAGTTCAAAAGAGTTTAGCCGAACTTGTCAAAAGTGAAGTTTTCGAGAGGAGTCTCAGTCATTGTTAAGTATGCACTGAAAGAGACGAGAAAATATTTATATTTGAGGAACATAGACTTAAAATATCAAAATCATTTAAGGGTTTTTCTTTGCTGATGCTAAAATAGATTTTTTGTTCAAAACATTTCTTGGTGAATATAGGAACATTTCAAGATATATACAGCAGAATCACTAGAAAAGTCTTCACAAAGATTGCGGAAAGCATATATAATAATCAAAGTCTTTGACTGAAACGATGGACGATATGAATTACTAGATTAATATAACATAGATAATTATTTTGTCAAGATTTTATACTAGACAAATCCTACTGTACCTAGTTTAGTAGGAGTGATTGATTTAACAAGAACAGAATAGAACGAAATTAATTTAGGTCTGTGACAGGTACAGTTTGAAAGTTCGTTAGAGACGAGTCGAAGAGCTAGTGACTAGCAATGCTCAGATGAACTACTTCATTGCAGAGAATGAACCAGTGGCTAAATCTCTCTAACGAGGAAAGATCTCCAACTGTTACGCGCCGTTTTCAATCAAATGTATACTAGTTTGTAGAATTGGTAAACATATGATTGAAAACGGCGCGTAACAGTTGGAGACCTTTCCTCGCAAGTCCTATCTACGGATAGTACCTAACTTTGTAAGACCGATTTAGGATAATCCCTATAACTCTGTAATCCTTTTCTAGCAGTAATACATATAATTGACTAGGACCAATTTATGCGCGGTGTAACAAAACAAATAGCGATGATATGCGATTATGAATATCAAGTCTGAATCCTGTGACGTTCATATAAATATCTTCTTGATAAGGCAGTTGCTCTTGGATCGTTTGATTGTTGAACCTTGTCTTTTATTTCTCTTGGTTCATATCTAATTCCGTTACTTGTTGAGATAGCTATTTATTTCAACACTATAATTACTTCACTCACAATTACACACTTTCAACAAGGTATTTGACTACGCGCACACTTTATCAACTCTCGTACACACACTCTCTGTATCAACTGCCTCTCTCACAGTATCACTTCAGCAAGTCATTTCCACATCCAAACCCATATCCAAACCCACATCCACACCCTCTTACACTCTTACATGCTGAACTAACTCGTACAAGTTCACATACTGAACTCAACTGAACTGTTCTTCACCTCCTTTGAATCGATACCGTGATCATTTGAGACTAAAGAAGAACAATGCAAATATACATCCTGAGAATCGTAAGAATTATAATAAAAGATTCAACGATAATGATGTAAGGATGATATTATCGAATACACTCTTACTGATCATTACAATAGTGGCTTCTAATTAGATACAAATAAACTAACGAAAAGAAGTAAATGCCGATTTTTATTTCTTTTATGGTTTTTATTATTTTTGTTTTTTTTCAATTCAGTTTGATCTGCTTCTTTCTGCTTGATATTTGCTTCAATTTTTCAATATCATGTCTAGTAAATCAGCTCGACTACGTTAACAAGAATTATTATTTTCTATGTAAATATGTACAGCACTTTATTAGAAAATCTTTAAAAAAAATCAAATAATGTCGATTTCAAAAAATTCATCTCTACATTGTTATGCTTACATTCGTATTATTATAAAGAAAGACGTTATTGAATTATATATCATTCGAAAGGCCGTGACGAGTACTACAAACTGATATAGAAACATAATGGATAGACATTTTTTAATGTGTCCATATAGCAGAATTTTGTAGCATTCCAAAATTTATGAAACACCCTGTATTCTATTCGATGGATCAATGAGTTTTCATGAAGGTATAGAAAGTTTAGAAGAATATCGTTATGACACTCATTAATTAAATAAATGGTCATATCTTTGTCGTTGAGCATAAGATGACTTATATTTAATAAATTCTCGACTAACCAAAAATAAATGAAGATGAAATCAAATAAGTATAAATGTAATATCTTATTTAATTTTTTTTTTCATAAAAAAAAGTTGAAAAAATGCGTCTGTTAGATTAATATGTTTGTATTGCACATCAGAAGATTATGAAACATTCTCTATTGAATAGAAATATAGTCTCTTTGTTTTTCTTTGCTATTGTCACATGATGCTATGAAAGTTCCACAAATGGAATTGTTTTTCGTTTTTTCTTTTCTATATTTGTTATGTAAGGAGGCAATACATCTTCATTTATTGTCCAATCGCTAACTGTCAAGATATGTTTAAGAAGACATACCTCCTCTTCATTCACACGAAGAATAATGTGATATTAACTTTGTATTAAATCGATATGCGTCTCCACTTATAAGTTTATGCATCAGTTAGAGTTGTGGAACATTAGCTCAATAATACAAGATCTTATAGTTTATATTTTGTATTTTCTTTTATTTATAGAAAATAATGAGCACAATATTCACCGAAGTTTACAATAGACATAAAGATAAAGTCAAACAAAATGTTGATTTACTTTACTTATTTACCAATTGGTATATTGAATCAAGAAACTTTTATTTGTTAATTGATGATAACGTAAGAAAATAATATTTTTCTTTATTAATTGCCTTTTATTTTTCAATAAAGAAAGTCAAATTACTTGATAATTTGAAAATTAATAGTGGCGACTTTCCAGTTAAATTAGTTGATGATGAAGGTTTCCAAATGTTGATGATGTTGTCTTCCAACGATGATACGTTTTATGCTTATTTTGAAGTAAAAATTGTTCTAATCTGGATTTGCAACTGGACTAACTTTGCTAATTCTAGGGATTAAATTCAAGTTCAAAAGCAAAAACGGTTCCAATACAGCTCAAGGCACATCTCCACGACAATAATTTAGTATAATTATTGTTTTTCTATTTTCTTTTCAATTGTTTTATTCTTTTAACGTCTATTTAGTGATATTGATAGCACAATCAGCATTGTACAACAATTTGATGAAGCTATTGAATACATTGAAGAGAAAAATTAAAGTAAAAATTCATCTACATAATCTTACATTTTTGATATATTGATTTTAGATTTGTCATGTATCACGACTTAATGAATTTTTCTTTATGAAGGTGTTTTTCATTAATATGATAAGATTTGATGTTATGTTCAGGATGTCATGATAATATTTTATCCTGTAGTTCATTTTTTTTAAACGTTATAACATTGTTATTTTTTTTTCTCATTTATGGTAAATAAATTTGGTTTAACATACCATGAAAGATTTTTCTTCCTTATGGTGCTATATAGCTACTTTTCACTATTTTTTTCATCTGTGAATACAAAATCCGTTTTGGTCACAAGAGGTTATTGAATAAAAGCGGCAATCTTCATTGTAATTTATCATATCAATTGTCTTGATTACAAAAAAATCGATGTTGCTAGTCAACATGGCAAACAGAATAAAAAATATAAAAAACACAAAAATTCGTCACCAAAATATTTGACACTTATTAAAAAATTTTAGTGAGAAAATGTTCAGATATGAGCAATATTTCACCTCAGTTTGGAGTAGTTACTATAGAAATGATTATGCGAATGAACAATGCATATAGACATTATGATAATCTTCTGTCAATTATAATAAAGTGTTTTAAATAATGATTTTATTTATTGAATTATATAAAGAACAATCATTATTATCTTATATAAGGAAAGTAAACATGAAAATCTTTTGATCGAATCGATTGTTTCGCAGTATAATACCAGTCGACTTTAGCACAATTGACTCGCGTCGCATCTCTTGTAAAATTATGGGTAATTCGCTGCAACTGGTCAGAATCCATTACCAAACCGATAAAATTTGAAAAACACGTTTTGATATCAAGTAAAAATTCTTCAGCATAATCATCGTGAATTTTGATAAGTCGTAGTATAGTAAGATGAGGATATTTGATAATTGGAAAATACTCACTATCGTTATTTAGCTTCTCATTTTGTGCTGTACAATTACTTACAATCAATTCGTTAAGAAACGGAAATGCTTGAGCTATTCGGATAAAAAATGTATGTTCGAAAGGACACTCATCAAATAATGTTGCACTTCGAACATGTTTAAATAATCCACCTGGAAAGTTATTGGTAATATTGTCATAATGTAGCATTGTATGTGGATATGTATAAAAATGACATTGGCCAGTTTTATTACTTGGAAAATAGTCGACACATGAAATAACTTGATGATCAGTTAAATTTGTCAATGTGCGTTGAATATATTCATTTGATAGTAAATGTGTGTGATCATTAATTGAAATGATCGATCGAATATTAAATGTGAATTCATTTAAATTAGACATATGAATAATAATATTCTTTTTTAGATTAGTTCCATCGATAAATCTTACTTTACATTCAATGACAAGATGCAAAGATAGCTTTTCTAAATTTGACATTCGACGTAAATTTGGCACAATCACTTCATCATAAACATATGTTTCATTATTACTGATCAACGAAAAACATTTCAAATTAGCTAACTCATTCTAGAAAAATTCATTAATGTTGCAACATAAATACTTTTTTCTTGCTTGCGTAGTTTGCCTTAGTGTTGATAGTTGATCGACGAGGAAGAATATGACAAACATTAACAAATAATTTGCGCAGTTGATCGAAACGACCATCAAGTATAGCTCGTCCAAAAAGTCCGTGCGTGTGACTGTATTTTGAATAA